TATTTTGTGGGTACTGAATTACATAACTCTTTGACCTCGTCTCTCAAAGTTTTAGCGTTATTTTTAATGAATGGCTAGCTAGGCCCTCATGCCATGTCACTTCTGGTTTTATATTAGTTCCTATCTTTTTATTCCATCTTCTTAACCTGTTAAGCATTATTTTCATTATGTTTTTTCAAAGTGTATGTATTAATGAAAATAATTCAGAAACTTATTTTGGAATAAAACTGAGTTTAAAAAAAAAAAAAGAGGCATGAAAAGTTTCTCTGAGAAAAAGACCCTGAGACAGTGTTTGTAGTTAGGTCTGTTCTTTACTCTGGTGTTTGGAAGAGAAAGGTTCTGGAGATCATTATCCGTCATGTAGCCAGAGTCAGATTCATGATAGCTGGCTGGGTTAGCATTGTGAGACAGCTGAGTCATTCAGGGATGACTACTGTAGTGTGGAGCGTCCTGGTGTGGGGCTGTGGCTTAATGCACTGGACTGCAAAGTCCGTTTGAACTGGAAGGTCGGCAGTTCAAGCTCATCAGCTACTCTTTGGAAATTCTATACAGGGTCGCTATGGGTCGGAACCAACTCGACAGCACTTAACAACAACAACAACAGTATAGTGTGGCACCATAGGATAAGCACTTATCTTCAAGGTTGGTTTGAACAACAAAGTCGATGGTTCAAACTCACCAGCCACTCCTCAGAAACCCTATCAGGGTCACTATGAGTCAGAACCGACTTGACAGCATTTAACAACAAGTATAAACACCAGATGAACTCATGTAGCATTTTCAGTGGCTGAGCTATAAATATGTAGCATGTAATGCTTTGTGCCTTTTGAGACCTGAACTCCTTTATGTACTGGTTGCCAAATAGGTTCTTAGTGCCCCAGAATAACCTTGTAGCTGCACATAATCCCCCACCCAAAGGGAATGTATCAGCGGTGAAGTCATTGGCTCAGAATAGAAGCCCCATGTCGGCAAGTTACAAGGTCAGTTTGACTGCCAGCAACAAGGCAACGAATCACCATGGGGCCATGCAGTACAACTGAACTAGGGAGGAGGCAGGATATGTAAATAGATTACGCATGGCACTAAAGTCAGTCACGGAAACAACTCAACAGATTCAGGAACAGCAAACTTTCAGGCAAGGAAAGTGTTGGCAGAAAGAAGTTCCCCATGCTAAAGGAAACTCCACCAAACTTGTTCAACCCCTTCTGCTTAAGAAATGCCAGGGCATTTCAAAGCCACCTAAACCAACCCTCTCCCTATGATAGTTATTGTTGTTGTTAAGTGCCATCTAGTGTATCCGACTCATAGCAACCCTGTATAGGGTTTCTGAGGAATGGCTGCCTGGTGAGTTTGAGCTACTGACCTTGAGGTTTAAACCGACCTTGAGGTCAAGTGCTTATCCTACAGCCCAGGAGTCTGAAATCTTAAAGAACTGTGACAGGTAAGCACATTGAAAGGAACATTGAAAATCTTCATGTCGAAGGCTGAAGAGGAAGCTGTTTCCTCAGTTCATGTAACTTTTGATTCGACCATTATTTCCAGTGGAGATTGAATCTAGGGTGCCCTGTCCATGCTAAGGGAGAAGGCTTCGCCTTACTATAATTGAACTCTTGTGGTCCTGTGCTTATCCTACAGCACCACACCAGGACCAGTCAGCTTGAAAAAGAAGTTAAGCTTCAGGGAACCTGTCATGAAGTGAATATTCAAAATTTCACAAAAGCAAAATTCATTAAGCAGTCATTAGAAATGGGAATTTCAACCTGGAAAATACTTGGAGCTATGTGTTTTGACTCATAGTTACCCTATAGGATAGAGTAGAAGTGCCTTATATGGTTTCCAAGTCCTGGTGTGGCACTACAGGATAAGCACTCGACTGCGAACCATCAGTTCAAATCCACACCAGCTGCTCTTTGGAAACAGTATACAGGGTCGCTTTGAGTTGGAACCAACTCAATGGCATTTAACAACATCAGTGTTTATAGAAGCAAACTGCCACCTCTTTCTCCCACAAAATGGCTAGTGGGTTCAAACCACCAATTTTTCGGTTAGTAGTGAGTGCTTAAGCATTGTGCCACCAGGGATCCTTGCTTTAGTTATTGTTGTTAAGTGCCGGTGAGTCAGTTCCAACTCATAGTGACCTTATATAAGGTTTCCAAGGAGCAGCTGGTGGGTTAGAATTGCTGACCTTGCAGTTAGTAGTCCATGCTTATCCTACAGCACCGCCAGAACTTCCACATCTAGACCAGTTTCCATGTGTCTTCTCCTCAACTTAGTAATGCTTTGCCTTCAAGTCAATTCTGACTTATGACAACGTAATGGCCCTTCCTTCCTTCCGTCTTTTTTGTTGATCAATTTTCTTCTAATTTCTTTCTCTCTTTCTGTATCATCCGTACTATTACTACCATTATCTTCATCGTCTCTGACTATTTCACTCTGCTTTTAGCAGATTTTTCCATTTCTCTGATCTAGAGGTTTTTTGTGAATTTAGAGTTGTTAAGTCCTGTCGAGTTGATTCCTACTCATAGCAATCTTGTACAGGGTTTCTGAGAAACAACTTGGTGGGTTTGAACTTCGTTGTCCAGTGTTTGAAATCAGTTTAATGATGGTGGCTAGAATTGTATTTTAGAATAGAATAGAAATACCAGAATGCATCTCAGAAAGTAAGGCCAGTTGTTCCCCCACCCTAATTACCTGTGCGTGTATGCACAGATATGTATGTTTACATAGATGTGTGTCTATATGTCTCTGTATTTTATTGGGTCATTATTAAAATGTTGGTCTGAGGAAAATGTGAAGGCCACTGCTCTGACCTAACATGTCCATATACCTTATTAGCTTCCCCCAATCTAAAAACTAACTTTCAGAGTTATCAATACAAATTTGATCACCTCATTGCCCTCCTTAAGATCCTCCATTTGACTCCCTTTTGTTTGTAGAAGTCCATACTCCTTAGCATGGCTTACAAGGCCCTTCACAACTGGGACCCAAGCTACCTCTCTGCCATTCCCCTGCCCTTAACATCTTACTTCCCTCATTCTTACATCTTGTGCTCCAGCCACATTGCACTGATCATCCAAACATACCTTACTCTTTTCTCCTTTTACCTTGCTGTTCCCACTGCTTGGAGTTCATTTCCATGTAGCGGAATCATTTTGTAAAGACTGAGATCAAATTAAAAACAAAACAACCTATAGCGAGCGGACAGCCACTTCTCCATCTTTGGAGCGAGCGTGCCTGAGGGAGCCAGCATTCACCGAAGACCCACCTGAAAGAGGGATGTCATCTGCAT